AGGAAACCCAGACAGCACTGGAGTGATCCTCTTGAAGGACAACTTTCCAAGATGGCGGAGAATCCTCAGCAGGAATATACAGTTTCTCTTCTCCATGAAGAGATCAATCTTACAATCAATCTTAAAACTACCCTTGTATTAGAGTCTGAGGGCTGCTGTAGCAAAATACCATGAACTGGGTGTCTTGAACAATGGAAACGTATTACCTTGAAGTTCTGGAGGCCAGAAGTCCAGAATCAAGATGGGCTCTCAAAGGCTCTAAGAGGAAATCTGTCCCAAGCCTTTCTCCCAGCTTCTAGCATCAGCAGGCGCCCTTGGCATTCCTTGCAGCTGTATAACGCCAGTCATTACCTCTGTTTTCCCATGGCCTTCTCCTTGTTTCTCTGGGTCTTCAGAGAGCCACTTTCTTACAGGGACACCATTCACATTGGATTGGGACCCACCTGCTCCAGTATCACCTCATAGGTAATTACATCATCAATGACCTTATTTCCAAATAAGGTCACATTCTGAGGTACTGGGCTTAGGACTTCAACCTATCTTTTTTGGTTTTTTGATGAGGGGCACAATTCAACCCATAACTATTCCACTTTTCAGGCAGGAGCTTGAGTAATTCTACAAGGCTACTGCAGTGTCAGGATTAGAACCCCGATCTGGTGGACTCCAAAACTGTTCTTGTAGGACACTGTAGTGCCTCCTGTCTGTGAATCTACTCACAGACGGTAAATGAGAGGAATACAAATTAGCATATGTGTGGCTATCTTTTTAACGAATTACTTTCATTGAAGAGAGCAAAATTTCTTGAAAAGGAAGATTAATTGAAGCAAAAGGAAAAAAAAAAAGGAAAGGAAAGGGGAAGAAACACAGTCAGGAGAGCTCCTTTCCAGATGCCTGTGCTCTCCTGGGCTCACCCCTCACTGGTTTCTGTGCTTGAGATAAATAGGCGGACTGGGACAGGACTTGGCCATTTCAGCAATATTTAGATGGCTGCAGAGATAAACTGACAGATTATGTGAACTCGGCCATTAATTCACCCTCGAGTGACCTGTGATTTTTGTCCCTGTGTTACATATTCGATCTCCACCTCATCTCCGGGAGATTCTGCCACCACAGCAGAACTTGAGGCGGGCCTTTGGAAAATGGTGGAAGTGGGTTGGACAGTACCCTTGCTGATGAGCTCATTGCTAGCAGGGTGATAGAACTCCAGGGACAGGGTCACCGGTTACGTTGGCCACAGCCTGCACTGAAGGGTCAGTGGGGAAAGAGTCACCAGCACTTGCCCAGGACAAGGAGGAAACAGATTCAATATCCATTTCCTGACCCAAAGAGCTCAGCCCGTCCATCAGGTCACAGTATGTAACACGCCCATTCTTCTCCAGAGCATCAGTGAAGGTACCATGTATCTCTTTTTTCCTCCTGTTGACAGATGAGGAAATGGAATGTCATCTGTTCACCCAATAAGTCTTTGAGCACCTGTTATGTAGGACATCTCAGTCTGACGCCTGGCCTGTGGGAGGGTTAGGGAAGGGGTGGTATAACATTTAAAAGCCCTTAGGGGCAGTTGGACCTATGGTCAAATCTCAACTCTTCTCCCAAAAGACCCTCCCTCTCCCATCATCCCTCCAGGAAGGCCTCTCTTGGAGGATGGAGAAGCCCTTCTCCCAAGCTGAGACTGAAAGTGGTACATGGGAAAAAGCAGCCTAGACATGGTGTAGTCTAGACTCTCCAAGCTGGGTGGACTTAAGCAACTTAGCTTGACAATCAGCATATTAGTCAGTGCACCTTTGGTGGCAAGGGACAAAAACCCATCTTGAATCAGCTTAAGCTAAAGAAGAAAATGTATTGTGTCTTGTCTCCAAACTACCAAAGGGGCTAGATTTTCAAATGAGTGATTTGTGCCCTTCTCTTCCTAACTCTCATCTCTGCTCACCTCTGACGTAGTTTGGTTCTTCTCCTGTACAGACTGACTTTGATGCCAGGGATTGTGGCTGTTGGTAGCTCTGGGCTTAGAGAATGCCAGTGTCATAACCCAAGGGAAACAGATTGCTTTCTCCCAGCTTTAATCTATAAAAATCCAAAGAATGGGTCATGTGCCCTTCCCTGTAGCCATCAGTCACTGGCTGGTGGCAGGTGCAACATGATTGGCTCTTTCAAGGTCAGTGTCTCCTCATGGTCGGAGCAGCTAAGATCTGTTAACAGAAAAATAGGAAGAGGGGGTGCTTTGAAGGTACAAACAGTACCATTACAGTCTACCCCTTAACCCCGCAGAGGACGTGTGTGTACATACACTCGCACTCCTATTAATTTGATTATAAAAATCTCATCTAACACAATCCACTATCCCATATATGGCCAAATGCACCTACCCTCACCCTAAGGTGAGACCACCCATGGTCATGGTACACCCAACTCCAAGCCTGGCATTTCTGGGTCACGAGTGTTACTCTCCATCAGAACTCAGTGTGGCCCCTTGTGATCCTGAAGTCTGTGGGCCAAATGGAAGTGAAGCCCCCCCCCAAATGTAAAATGGACGGAGGACAGATCTGGGCTTAAATGTTAAGTGAGACGCTTCCAAGCTGTGGTAACATAGGCAGACGACATAGTTTCGAATTCTACATAAAAACGAGTAACATGGAGTAACATGAGTGGTTACCAGTCAGAACATATACCATATGCCAAAAGAAAGGTTTGCATCTAAGACAGAGAGATGTAATAGTCATTAGGATCAGCCTCTTCATCTATAAAATGGGTTAATAAGAAGGGTGTGAGGACTGAATTTTTTTAAATAAGGCGTGGCACTTAGTAAAGTAGATAGCACATAGTAGATACTCAATACATATTCTCTCCTCTCTCGCTCGCTCTCTCTCTCTCTCTCTCTCTCTCTCTCTCTCTCTCGCTCACTCTCGCTCTCGCTCACACACACACACACACACACACACACACACACACACACACAGTTTTTGATCTGATGACAGTGACCTCATGCTGACAAAGTAAAACAACCACTTCCCCCCTTCCCCTCTCCCTCCGTCTCCTTCCTCCTTTTTTTTCTCCTCCTGCCCATCCTTGGACACTCTGTCCTCTAGTGACCTATTGAGCTGAAGTTGGTGTGAAACTGTCACCACCATGGCCCATGGAAGTTCTCACTCCCAGCCCAGATGTAAGCAAGCATCCGTGCCCCAGGGCCGTGGTTCCTTCTGTGACACAGGAGGGACATACATTGTTGAACAAGCACAGTGACAAGATGTAGGCTTTTCCAGAGCTGTCACCATCTGATGTGCCCGCTCCAGGGAGGCAATGTTTCTTTTAAAGATGGACGGACTGTTCTTAGTTGACCAAATCACCTCTGTCTTATGAAAGAAATTCAAGGTGATCAGGGATGAGACGCATCTCCAGCGAGGCTAACAAATTCTGCACTTACCAGGGTGGTGGTGAGGGAAACAGTTGCTCCATAATGAGCCTGTATCCTCTGCTAGACCCTGCTCTCCACCATGAGTGAGGGGGACAAGAAGCCCACAGTTTAAATAGACAGCAGCCCACCCATGAACGAGATCAAGTGGCATGTAATATTCCCCTCAGTCGTTCCCTATGAGGGCCGTTTAATTCCAAGGGCTGGCTGGGTCCTCGGTCTAACCTTCAGTTATTTCCAAGTGCAAGGGTGGAAAGAGCACTGGTTTGGGGTCCCATAGATCTAGATTTAAGTCTTTGTTCAACCATCAATTAGTTTCAGGTCTCAGACAGCTCACTTCACCTTTCTGGGCCTCTGTTCAATCATCTAAGAAAACAGTTTAAGCATGCCAAGGGTCATTGCACCTGGGTCATTGCAAAGATCCTTGGATTCAAAGAGAAACAAGCAGTAGTTCAGAACATGGGCTCTGCAGCCAGATTGCTTGGGTCCAAACCTAACTCCACAGGTATAAGCTGTGTTTCCTTGGGCAGCTGTGTTTCCTTGGGCAGGCAGACTTAGCCTCTCTGGGCCTCAGTTTCCTCTTCTACATTGAGTGGGAATATTAATACTTACCTCATAGGGTCATTCGAAGGATTCGCTGAGACAATATGTGTAAAGCAGTTAGCAAAGTGCATGTCCAAATTAATGATTATAAGAACATATGGGAAAAGACTTTATAAACTGTAAAGTACCATCTTTGTGTACTATTTACCAGGAAGTACAGGAACACGTGTACTACTTTAAGAAAACTAAGTGAATGGTTTGTACTTGGATAGTTGTTTTACATTATTTAAAATTTTCCTTTTGGATGAAAGCATTCACCTTGGCCCACAAGGTGGGCAAACTGTAAAGTACTTATACAGCACTGTGGATGGCTGGTTTTTTATTCCACTCACCTTAACTTTGTGCCTGTTATATTCAAGACACTGTGGTAGAGACGTTTATACAAATAAGTCCATGTTAACCTCATTGGGCTGATATTTTCATCCCCACAATGAAGAAAACTAGGCCTCAGGGAGGTAACTGGCCTAAATGCACTAGGTCAGCACGAGAATGTTACCAAAGTGATACGACAACCTAGATCTTGAGATATCCCAGGCCAGTGTTCCTTCCAAGGGAAAATAACACCTTAAGCCATCTTGCAGAAATGATCACAGGCTGTCAACTTATCAGGCTCTTCAGAGCTGTCCTAATACAGGTCTCATCTGCTTGGTGCTTAGGGAATGATGTTGGCTTGGGTTACTGGGTGCCCAGTTGTCACCAGTAGAGCCCAGGGGCATGACCTTAACCCTGGCCTTGGAAAGGTCCCTCCCTCCTCTCTGTTGACCTCCAGGGCCCACAGCCTCACCCATGGGACACCACTGCCTTTATAGATCATGTTCTGCCAATGCACATGAGTTTCAGTCTCTCTTGTTTCTACTTTACTGCTCAGAGGAAGGAATTGGTACCAAAAGGTCAAGAAGGCCACATAGCCAGAGGCACACTGGTTACTCCTGAAACCCTTTCAGCTTTGTCCCCCCTGCCAAATCTGACTTTTCTCATCTCCCCAAAGCTAAGTACATCGGCTGCTACCTGGATGACACCCAGAGCCGGGCCCTTCGAGGCGTGTCCTTTTTCGACTACAAAAAGATGACCGTCTTCCGTTGCCAGGACAACTGTGCAGAACGGTAGGGCCCCACCAGTGTCCCAGGCATTCAGATCCCTTCCTTCTCAGATTCCTACCTGTGGTGGTCTTTCTTTTTCCATGGGAGGGCACGAGGGAGGATGAACATGTGGCTACAAGGAAAGGGTGATGTGTGTGTGTGTGTGTGTGTGTGTGCATGTGCATATGCATACGTGCATGCAACTCAGCAGGGAGTTGGTCTGTGGGAATTTGTGAGACTGCCTAGGAGTGAGTTTGCAGTGTACGGTATGCAGGGTCATATGTTTGTAAGCTTAATGCCGGTACCTAACTGTCTTTAAATAACAGTAGCTGTGAGTGCAGGAGTCTCTGTGGATATGTTTGCAAGGGTCGCGAATTGTGGGGAAAGCACAAGTGGGTGTTTACACGCAGGCAAGTGTGAGTCTGTGAGCGTGAGGCTTGTGTGATGCCCGTGGGAAGGGTGAGGTGGGAGCCCGGGATCAGGGCTATTTAATGGTTTACCAGCCAAGAAACTATTTGTTTCTCTACCAGGGAGAAACACTCACCTGTCCAGACAGTGTTTTCCAATCTAAGAATAAAATGATGTTCTTGATTAGAACATGCACTGCGGGGAGGGCGCTCACTTTCCAAGAGTGGATGAGGCCCCAGAGGACTGGCGAGTTGGGACCCTCAGTCCAGGCCTGGGAACCAGCACTGCTGCCCTAGAGGCACTGTGGAGTGAGCTGACCTTCTCCTCCCCTGTGCCCTGGGTCCCCTGATGTGTGATGGCTTGTGAGAGGCCTCTAACATGCTCATCTTCAGGCTCTAGCCTGATCACAAGCTCCGAAGGAGCTCCACTGCATGGCTGGAGTGGAAATGGGCAAGTGGGTGGCCAAGGGACTCTTCCCTCAGTTCCTGACTAGAACACACTGTCCCCTTTATAATCAGCTTCCATAACAGTTCACCATTGAAATCCTGAGCCCAGGACCATCTCCAGCTTGGGAAAGACTCCAAGCTCTTGAGGATGTTGATTCTTTAATTTATTTATTGAACGGTGGGGAGACAGAAGTGAATTTCAGAGTCCATGCCCTCAGAGAGGTCTTGTGGGAGTTGAAGAGTTAATATTTGCAAAGCAAATATTTGAGTGCCTGGAAGAGAGGAAGTGTAAGCTATTGGCATTTTGTGGCCCAAACCCCGTTCTTGCTTCTGCCTCCCCAACTAGCTGGGGAGCCCCTTGGGGGCAGGGCTGCAGCTGGCTCATCTCTGCATCCACCTGGAAACCCATGTGGGCAGCGCTGAACCAGAGTGAATTACGTGAGTTGATCTGACTGGTCTTCTGAAGCTCCACCTTGGCTGTCACCTCCTCTGAGAAGTCTCTCCTGACACCCCAGGCAGGTTGGGGGCCTCTTCTGCATTTCCACAATCTGAGACTTACCCCATCTCAACCCTCATCTCACTATGCCGGCGTTTTCTGGTTAAGCGCTTGTCACTCCATCTAGGCTGTGACGCACACGTCAGCATCACCTGAATCTCTCAAGATTGCCGGGCCCCACCTGCAGCTTTTGATTTGGTGGGTTTGAGGTAGGGCCCAAGAATCTGCATTTTTAACAAGTTCCCAGGTGACACTGGATGCTGTTGGTCCTGGAACTATGGTTGGAGCACCACTGCTCTGATTTTCACACCCAGCTGGGAAATTTTAGAAACTCCTGCTGTCCACTGTTCCTTCTATCAGTGGGTGCATTTATATGAGACGGGCCCCAAGGGCACCTGAGAACCAAGGCTTGAGAGAGACAGCGACAGACAGGTGGAAGAAGGAGGCTGGCCCAGCTCCAAGATGCCCAGATAGTTTAAGCTGCTCTTCCTGCGTCTGCCCAGGTGACCGTGTGATCACACGCTACCCGAGTAGTAGGGGTGTTTGGAGACATGAGTCTGGGTGGGTCTGTCCCTCCAGCCAGCCCCCGGAAGTCCCGAGTGATGGCGTGAGCTGACACCTCCCATAGGTCCAGCCTTGCATGACCAGTATTTTGCAGGCTGCTCCCCCAAGGAGCTTTCACGATTCTGGAAAGTGCCTCAGAGGCCACAGTGGGCAAGACGACTGAGCAGGGGTCGTCCTACTCCCCTCTCCCCCACCACTTCATACCTACCCTGCGAGGCAGAGCAAGCACTTCCCTTTTCATCTGTTTACAGAACAGGTCCTCACTAAAAGTCCTTTTTAGGAAATGATTCCAGAGCTATGAAAAAAAATTGACAATCTTGCAGTGCCTGGATATTTTTTTTGTTGTTTTAAGGAAAGGAATTTTTTACTTGGCTGGATACGTGACCTTGGTTTTGTCACCTTCCAAAGACATACGAGAGTCCCTGCCCCCTCCCCTGGGTCCAGCTCCTCTCAGGGGACATAGAGGCATCATTCCTGGGGGATGTTTCCTGGAATAAAGAGGCTTGACTTTGCAGATATGATTGGCTTGTGGCTCTAGACAGGGAAGAGCAAGAGAGTGGGTGGGGCAGAGGGACCACAGGACCAGAGGGGTGTGTGTGTCAAGTGTCCTGTGTGTTGAAGGTATATGTAGATGGGTGTGAATATGACGTTGTGTGTCTATGTGGGTAAGTGTATGGGGGTGTGAGACATGAGGCAGGGATGGAAGCAGGTGGTCCCTGGGGTCTTGTCCCCTTCCAGAGTCTCCCTGTCCCCCAGGAACCTCTTTGTATTCCTTCTTGGCTTCCTGCCCATCCCACCTCCAAGACTTTCTAACCCCTTAGCCTCCCTGACCCTCTCAGGGTCTCCTTATTCTCAGTCCCGATCCCCCTGTCCCTTGGAGTATCCCTGTACCTCAGATCTCCTTGGGTCTCCCTGACGCCCAAAGTCTTCCTTGTTTCCCCTCTTCCAGGGAGATAGGGAGACCCCCACCCCAGTCTCCTTACTCCTCTGGGATCCCCCTGTCTCCTGGAAGCCTCTGTCTCCTGTCCCGTGAGGTCTCCCCTGTCCCCCTTCCATCGTCTGTCTCTCCATTTCCCCTGGGACCTCCTGGTCCCCAGAGCCCTCCCGTCCCCCAGGCCTCCTCACTAGGTGAGTCACCCTGTCCCTGGGGTCTCCATGGTGGCAGTTACCCTGGCCTGACAGCAGCCTCCCCCAGGGGTTACCTGTATGCTGGGCTGGAGTTCGGCGCCGAGTGCTACTGTGGCCACAAGATCCAGGCGACAAACGTGAGCGAGGCGGAGTGTGACATGGACTGCAAGGGCGAGCGGGGCAGCGTGTGCGGTGGCGCCAACCGCCTCTCCGTCTACCGGCTGCAGCTGGCCCAGGAGTCAGCCCGCAGGTGTACGTGAGTCGGCCCCTCCCCTCTCTGCCCTCGCCCACCTGAGCGCCCACCTGTACCTTCCACAGCTCCCCCCGCTCCTGAGCCCTCGGCTGCCCTCCAAGGCTGCCACCATCCTGCCCCAGCCTCACCTCCAGCCACGCCCCTCTTCCTCCTTAACAAACAGCTAGAGCCTGAGCTGGCTTGTCCTTCCTCATTTTCTGAAAGCAGATTGTGTCTAACGATGGTGACAATGACGACAGCAAACACTTCATCGTTTTCCAAGTGCCTTCTACGGGAGAGCACATCTAATCCTCAGGATGACCCTTGAAATCGCACTGTTATTCACCCACTCCCATTTTACAGATGAAGAGACTGAGGCTCAATGTCACACAAACAGCAGAGGATTGAAACCAACTCCAGAGCTTATGTCTTTAATGCTCCTGTAGAGAATTTATCCCTCGCCTGCCAGTGCTTCAGTCTTGTTGGAAAAACTCTCCAGTTTCCAAACTGAGGGAGGGAAGGGGATGAATAGCCGAGGACAAGAGCCACCCCTTCTTCTGTGGATATTGTCCCGTTGTCCCCTCTCTGGGTGTTTAATAGCAGTTAATGTCTATTTATCAAGCATCTGCCGTGTGCCAGGCACGTGCTGAGCCCACTGCCAGCCTGATTTTGCTTCCCTTCCCTACAGACTTTTCAGGCAGTTACCGTGGTTAATTATCTCCATTTTACAGTGAGGAAACCGAGGCTTGATGAATTTAAGTAAGCCTGCCCAAGGTCACACAGTCTTGTGACCTCAAAGGTGACCTTCAGACCTATAGGAAGAGCTAATGGCCTTGACGAAAGACAGAGGGCTGAGGTTTGTCCTGGTTACTCTTCTGATGCAGTCCTGAGGTATGAATAGGAATCCAGAACTAAGAATCCCAAATTTGAATGCTCCAATGAACCCTAGGGAGATCTTGTTAAAATGCAGATTCTGATTCAGCAGGTGAGATTCTGCATTTCTAAGGAGTTCCCAGGTGATGCTAGGTTGCTGGTCCATGGACCACACTTTGAATAATAAGGCCTTAGACCTCCATGGAGCTGACAAGTTCCGCCCAGAATGTCAGCCTGCCCACCCAGGTGGATTTGGCAGAACCTTAATGCCTGTCTGCATGCAGAGAAAGGCCTTTTCCGTATGAATGTCATTGTTTATAAGAATTCATTGCTGGTGTGCTTGACACTGTGTTCTGTTTTCCAAACCCCGTGTCTCTGAAGCCCTGTTCAAGCTTTGCTTTACAACGGGGTCCCGCGTGCCGCCAGTTTACAAAGTGGCTGATTTCTAGAAACAGAGGCACCATCTGCCCCCCCATCGTTGCCTCAGTTCCTCCAGCTCTGCAGGTCTGGCTGGCAGAGGGCCGGGAGGGTGTGTGAAATCCAGGCTGGATGATGTCCATACAGCAAGTCTCTGGTTTGGCCATTAGTGTAATGAGGTTTTAATTTGATAGCAGATTTATCATCCCCAATACTGATTTCTTTATGCCAATGTTTACATTATTTTGATGGTGTCGTTAACCATATGAAGAGATGGCCTTAAAGTTGTGTGTATTTAGAGGGAAAGCTGATGCCACTAGAACATTCTAGTGGATGATGCTGAGCTAGATAACAAGAACTGGGCTGTGCATGTCATCAGCCACTATCAGCTAGACCTCCTTTTGGTTAATGTTCAGATTGGCTGGGTAATACGAACATTCTCCTGTCTTTCTGTCTGTCTCTCTCTCTCTCTCTCTCCCTCTCTCTCTCTCTCTCTCTCTCTCACACACACACACACACACACACACACACACACACCACACACACACACACACACACACACCACACACACACACACACACACACACACTATTGAGATCACCTGGTATAATAACACTCTCATGGACCAACAAAGGTTTTTCAGTCATCAGGTGAAATATATAAACCTCGACACACGGAGACCACTAGATCCTGCTACAATTGGGTGTGTTTTGCCCTGGTAGCAGTGGGAGGGCTGTCTGGGTGGTGGCTGGTGAGAAGCCCCTGAGGCTGATGGGAATGCTGCTGTGCCCCTCAGCTTGCCCACCTCTGCAGTGGTGTTTTGTTCCATCTGAGAAAGGAATCTTTGTATTTATGTCGAAGACGGGGAACCCATTCCTTTCTACTGAGAGGGGAGTCCTGGATTCTGTAAGTCCACCCCAGTTGTTCTGAATCGTCGCTGTACAAGGTTGGAAGCTTGGGCACCTTCAGCTGGAGACTCCAGAAGGAAAGCTAAGCCTTACTAATCTCAAGGCTACTGTGGCTTAGATGGGAATGGAAGTGGCTTGGATAAGGAGACAGATGGTTTGTCACATTGGGACTCCTGGTGGGCTCCCCGTTGGCAACATGGTATTTGGAGAGAGCGTGGGGACTGTTCATTAAACACGTGATTGCTCCCATGTGTATTAGGCATGGAGAGGACAATGGGGAGTAAAGCACAGTCCTTGCCCTCAAGGAGACCACCGTCTAGTGGAGAGACAGACCCAAGACGAGTGGGATCTGTTCAAGCATGGAGGGTATATATAGGAGCCACGGGAGCAACATTTGAGCTGAATCTCATTCTAAGATTTCCAGGTGAAAGGGAGAGTCGTGTATTCAGCCATGAACAAAAGGATCATCAAAGGTGATGTTCTGAATGACCTGTTGGAAGCACCTTCCTCACTGATGCTTCATTTTACGGCTTTAGAAACTGAGGCCCAGACAGCACAAGTGGCTAAATTGAACAGCCCTGCGGGAGGCTCCACAGAAGAGGGCTGACTGATTAAGGCCTTGAAAGATGTGTAAAAGAGGAGGATATCCAGACTCAAGGAATTGCCAGAGGATGGGGGAGAAATCTAGGCAGAGGGAATAGAGTGTGCAAAAGCTGAGAGGTAATTTCTAGACGTGACGGGCAGGCATGATCTTTCCAAGGCCACAGCGCTTCTTAGGGACTGAGCATAGGCTGGAACCCAGGTCTCTGACTCCTAGTTTGAGTGCTAACTCTATATAGTGCTGTAGACACCTTGACCTCTTGTATTGGATTTTGGACCCCCTTGCCTCTCTTTTGGGAGTGTTCCTTGGATTTAACTTACCTCCTTTCTTCCTTGACCCCTGACCTCTCCTTCTGCCCTGCGTCCTGACTCTACACCATACAGAATATCCAGTGCCTTTGTTCTGACTCAGTGGCTTCCCATTCCTGAGATCTGATTTATACACAAATAAGTCAGAAAGGGAGGCCTTCCACTGGCACACGACACTAGCATGTATTACATTAGGGAGGGCAATGAGCAAACACTCCAGGAAACAGGTATGGTGGAAACCAGATTCCATTTGTAGGGTCATTAGTTTGTATTAACACCGTGTCCTAATTGTGTTTCCCTGAGCAGTGGCACAGAACTCTTCATGATTGCGAAGATCCAAAGGAGGCTTATTATCGCCCAAGCACCACTCTGGTGGGGTGTCCACCTTGCGTGGGGTGCCAGCCTGCGTGTTTCCGAGGTGACGGAATGCTCCGACAGTAGTGAGAGCATTAGAAGGTTGGCAGAGCAAATGTCTGCAGGCATCCTGCTCTTCTTTCTTGCCATAGACACTCGGGCACACGGACTCTTTGCCCTTGTTAGAAAAGAACTGAGAAATGGACTTCCTTCTTGGTTGGCTCACATTTTTTCACAGCAGTTTGCTAAATGTGTCAGCAAGTGTAGCTTCTCCTCCCAGGGGCAGAGACCTGCTGGTGATTCGAGAGTATTATGGCTTTATAGGGTGTTGCAAGAGATTTCATTTGCCTGAAAGATTCTTGCAAGATTCGCATTGCAAGGTTCATTAGAATTACACAAAATATACAATATGTATGTGGGTCCCGTGGGTGGCTGTCCGTGGTGCTGACAATCCTTTAGTGCTGCCTAAATCCCCCATGACTGCAGACCAGCCTCTCCCAGGACCCGGCACTTTTCCCTCTTGTTTTTTCTTTTCTGTCTTGGTGAAAGTATTATGAAGCCATGTTATCACCGAAACAGTAGATCTTGACTCGTGGGTCACACTGTACCTGGTGACTCTTGTGTACTTTTGCTAGTTCTGGCGATTTTTTGTCTTTGAAGGTTAGAAGGGAAAACGTTGTGCAATGCTTGTAGTTTTTGTTCACTGATACTCCGTTTTAACCAGTTCTGCTGAGAGGAGCCTCAGATGACCATGGAAAGTCATATTGGATGGATGGGCTATGTCTAGCTCCTTCTTTGCCGGGCCTGGAGGCCTCTCCTTTCCCTTGATATATGCCTGGGACCCCTGAATTTTATAATTCATATGGGTCTTCATGTGTTCTGCTGTGTAGGGCCAAGGAGATGTTAGCTAGAAAATTTTTTCTCCTTCTGCATCATGATGGGGGAGAATTGGTTTGCTCTTCTCCGTGAACCGTAATCCAGGAAGGCTATGGGAGCAATGATTGTAGATTTTGAAATTAGGCAGACATTGTTTCTATCCCAACTCCTTCACTTACTTGCTGTGTTGATTTTGGTCAAGCCACTCATTCTGTCTGAGCCTCAAATGCCTCATCTGTAAAATGGGGACAATTCCAACCTTGAAAGATTGCTCTGACCACCAAGTGAGATAAAGTTGAGAAAGCACATAGCACAGTGCCTGTTATGAAGTAGTGGTGATGCACCCTCCTTCCTGAAATGAAAATTCCTCAACTCACTCCGAGTAGCACCCAACTCAAGCTATTTGAATTTCCAACAGCTCACAGGAGCCGCTGGTGATGCCTAAAAATAGCTGGTTTGAATTCTCCTCGGACAGTTAGGCTCTTTGTGTAATTCAATCTCTCTCTGATTATAGGTAGCCATTAACAGCTCCCAGCTCACTGCCTTTTCTCCTCACCAGCATCTTTAATGCAGTAGAGCTTGGCCTAATTACCCGGGGGGTGATGGCCTCTTTCAAACCAAGGAGAACTCTTGCACGCCTGCCTTTAAGCTGATGCCTGGTGGGATTTACCTCATCTTTGTGA